TTCAATCAATGTATCCCATCCCCCCTCTTCATGTCTGTAACTAATCGATGTTTCTTTGCTCAACAACAGATACCGGTACGCTTCAAGTGCGGAGGGCTGTTTGAATGCTCTCGTCACGGCGGTGTCGTTTCACAAACAGCTGCGCCTGTTAGTAACAGGATTTGATTCTGGACATTTAATGCTACATACAATACCAGATTTCAACCTCATCAGTGAAGTCAAGTGGGTTTTATTCCAACTGTTTTTCGTCACCTGGCCTACTTTGTTTTATGTTTCTGGTTTTTCTGGTCTGGCATTGTCCCAGCCCTTGTGCCTGCTTCCATCTCCACTATAAAGACCCCATACAAAACCACCTCTTCAGAGAGACCGTTTTTCGATTCCTCAACTTCTTTTCTTGAACTAGACGACTGAAGCTCCATAGATACCGTCCTTATACAAAGCCAAACAGTCATCCATACGTTGAAATGAAGTTTTTGTATGTTTCTGTCGGTAATCTGGCTGTCCTCCTAATGTGTTTTCAAATCCAAGGCCCTTATCCATTGACCAGGGTATGCTTGTAACATCAGTTTGCATAAATCAAATAATAGGTAATACCGCGATCCCACTGTTTCCTTTGGGAGATTGTGATTGGGAAACAGCCTTGGCCACTCAATTGGCACACGGTCATCCCTCTTCATCCTTTGAATCCAGTCGTGGTCATACTACAGTTCATATTCCCGCCCGGGACAAGCACATGCAAACTTGTCTGTTACATTCTCATCACGTTTTGGACATTGCAAGCCCATTGCCTGTGACTCCTGTTGCCGGTTTGAATATACTGGGTGTTACATGATTTCTGGTGCTATATGTTAGGAAGCGACAAAGCGACGTAAGCAAGGCTGTTGGTGTTGGGTAGCTTTGGCAGTTGATCAGACTTGTAAATCAGCAAACAGAGGAAGGACAGGGGTAACAGTTCTCTAAACTGTGCCGCTCGCTATTAAAAGTAGTGTATTATTATCACTGTTGTTACATTGCTCATGACAGGACTGCGGTTACGCGACCACTGACAGTGACAATGAAGTCTCGTTCTGACTGAGAAACAGGGCGCAAGTCTTTGGGACGGATAAAAAGACGAATCATCCACAGCATAATACGAGTTTTGAACACCAGTTCAGTGGTTATAGCGCAAACTTCCTGACCTAAGGTCCGTGGTTCGAATTCGACCTCCATCTCTCGACTTCCCCTGTCTGGGTTTGGGCAACCTGGCAGTATCCCAGCCCTCCTGCTTCCTTCTGGTGGCATGGCAGTTAGGCACCGAAAGGGTGCTACAGTTGAACACCAGTGAGATGCGGGATGTCATCACAATCCAGTCGAATTAGGCAGATAATTGGCTACGAATACCACCCCGTTAATAGATGTTTGGCTGTTCACACTATTGGTGTTTGCTGCTACATTTGTCCCGACAGCGATGAGATATACGGGACATGATTAAGCAACAACGTTTAGCACAACACGGACAATAGTGGGATGAAAAGAACACTATTCGTTTAATCCCGGCAAAGTAAGTGAATATAGCACCACACGAGACCATGCAAACTAAATCAAGGTAGTTGCACAGCTAACCAGAACAATTGTTCTGCGCGAAGAAAGCCTACAAAGATGTCCCTTATATGGGAAGGGGGTTGATTGTAAAATACAACCAAGCCTTAAGATTGTGGCTAGCCAACTATAGGGCATTCTATCCGGATAAATCATTTGACTGTTTGTGAATGGCAACCGTCTAGATGGAATCGTACGTCAACCAGGTTTATCCAGCCCCCCTGGTCATCCTTCTAAGCCCATCCGACGAAACACCATACTGGCTGAGGTGTTCATGTAGCCGAACTTGTACGGCGAAATTCAGGCAACCTGCAGTAGGTGGTGTTAAGTGACTACCCTACCAACGTTTACTCGGGAATGAAGATAGGAACAAGTTTCTAAGACTCCACCGAAGCACTGCTTTTACTTACCGGTTTGTTGCATCAGGAGTATCAGTGGTATCGTATTTGGTTCCGTCTACAGAAGGTCTACCTGAACTGGAAAGTATCTGAAATTTTGTAATAATGATAACTCCTCGGCTTAGTTCGTTTCTGAACTTTCCAAACTAGCGTTCCCGTCAAAACGATCAACAAACGTGCACAACGTGTGTTAACGCCCAAAACCAGGTCAAAAACACGTGTACATTGCGCCGCTATAAAGTGTATACAGCGACAGTATTCTGGAAGTTCTGACGCCCCCTAAATGCGACATTGGCAACCGGTATTTGGTGGATACTGAACCATGGTTGGTTGCTAGGTCCAAACTTTCGGCCAATCAGAGCTCGCCTTGATGCCGGACCGGCACTCGGCCCGATCTTTTGGTCAATCACATGCAGAATAGGCTTCTTGGACGTCGCAGCGCCTAAGTGCGAGTAGTAAAGCGCTATCGGTACAGAATTCCGCCTTACAAGTTTACGGGCTTCTGTCACGTGCAGCATACGCATACTTTTGTCTTAGCCTTGTTCCATGAAACAAGACCGGCGTGCACTCCAGACAGACTCGCTGAGGAGATCGAATTGGTAAACACGTACTGCAGTCAAACAATTATCCATACCGTTTCATTGGAAAACGTCTCAAACCTTCAGTCCCTTCTTTAATTTTCAGCGAACCGAATGCCAGTTCATCGATTACCAGGCACTCATTCGATACAGCTCGGAATTGAACTTTGCTCTTCATTCACTGTTATAGTACGAAGCAATTGGCCACCTAGACTGAAATCCCTTGAACTAATATAAGCCTGTACTCTGGGCTCAGATACTGCTATGACTGTACTGACCGTTAACGTTACATTTTAGTCCCGTATCGACAATTCCAGTAACTCCATATTTTGTTTTAATCTATCCCGTTTTACACATGTTCTAGCAGAGGACACTGCACGAAATGGATTCATCCCGCATTTAACTGATCCAGGGACCCGCAGCCGGATTTGGTTTAATCGTCATAGTGTCTTTTTATTAAATCCAACTTTGCCAAAGCCGTTTTAGACGTTTTTGATCGGTTAACCAGCCAGACAGAACTGGGAGGTGATTTCGACAGAGAGTGGTGGAGCATATTTGGGCTGTTGAATTTTCATCTTGTTTCTGGTAAATCATTGGTTTTTCTTTATTCCGAAGCTCCTCATACTGCATGGTTGGTACCACTGTTCAATGTTTAATGGAAGCAACGGTCTACTGAGCTGGTTATGGCAAATATGTGACAGTTGCCGTATTCATAGGAACCATAAGTGTGCTCCAAGATACAGGTCACTGTACTCTGGGGTTGCATGTCTGATGTTGCGCATCGTAGGTCTTAATAAGGACACAAGCCTTACTGCTGCACTGTTCATTCTTGTTCTCGCTTCACCAAATTGTAGACTGTTTGAGCACGCGATCACCACGCTCACCATAAACCGTTCTGGGGAGTGGATTGGTGCGGCGACCGAAGATAACGGACAACTGACTGTCTGGGAGTGGCGGTCACAAACGTGTCACCTGAAGGCACAGTCACATGCAAGGCAGATGACAAGTTTGGCCTACTCTCCTGATGGTCTGCATTTGGTGACAGGTGGCCAAGATGCCAAGGTGAAAGTTTGGAGAATTTCTGGAGGACGGGCCGTAGTAACGTTTTCTGAACATACTGCCGCAGTAACGGGGGTAGCATTTCCGGCATCGAAAGCGAAAGTCGTGATATCTGCCAGCCTTGACGGCACTGTCCGTGCCCACGATCTCGTACGGTATGTTTTTTTTATGCAACTTTGTTCTTTACATGTCTACTTCCCCATTCTGCTCTCCACTTCTGAATTAGACGATTCGTTTTTGCAAAGGTCCTGCCTTTGTTTCACAATGCCAACTTCACATGGTTTTTCTACAGCTATCGGAACTTCCGTACACTGTCCGTCCCTACTCGACAAGTACAATTCGCCTGTCTGGCCGTTGATGCTCCTGGTAGCCTTGTTGCAGCTGGTGGTCTGGACTCGTTTGAAACGTTTGTGTGGTCGGTGAAGACGGGTGTTTTGCTGACTACTCTCACAGGTCATACTGCTCCAGTAAGCTCTCTTGCATTCAATCCAGATGTGGCTGGCTATAGTATAGAGCTAGCTTCCGTTAGTTGGGACGGCACTTTACGTTTGTGGGACCTTACAGGAAATTCCGCAGATGAACACAACCCATCATCTGTCGGTAACACCAAGGAGGTTGTGCACTTTTCACACGATGGTGAGTCTCATTTCTGTTCCCAGTTGCTTTTTTGGGCTGGAATCGTTTAGAGGATTAGTTGGTGGGACGTTGCTCAAACCTTTGATAAAATGTTTTGAGAGTTCAGTTGCTTGTTCGACTGCAACCATGTTCACAGAAAGTGAAATTGCGAATCGGATCCTGCATCTTCGGAGTTGGGTCCACGTGCATGTGACTGTAGACAATACTTAACCTTCCTCTGTTTATTCACTGGCTAGTTTGCATGTTTGATCCGATATGTTGGCTTGTGAACAACATAAGAGACTTACCTTTTTCACATGACTTTGCTCCGGCGTTGCGTTCAACCGTGACTGTCTTCATGCTACTTGCAACTTTACTCAGTAGCTAGTTTGTAAGCTTTTCATGACTACGTCACCATAGACAGTGGATGGCTCCAGTTAACGAAGCCCTAATCTTCGACACTAATTTCCACTGGCCCACTGAACAACGGAATGAAATGTGTCTATTTTTATCCGTTAAAACATCGTGGTCCGCCATTCAAAATAGTGTTAATTCCAATATGCCTTGACCCAGTCGGCAGTGCTTTGATAAAGTTTCACTGTTATATTGCGTTAGTTTTCTTTCGCTGTTCGAATGCAATATTTTTGAAGTGACCCTTCGTCGAACATTTGGGGTAGTAGTTATCAACCTGTCGTAAGCGGCCGATTATCTTCAGCGGACGAACCAGATCTACCCCGTGTGGATGTTTTCTGACTCCAGGGAACTGCCTCCAGTTGGAATTCATATTGCCGCTCGTTCGAGGTTTCTAATAAGGGAGCAAAGCGCGACATGTTTCAAACACAAGGTGAAGCGTAGCGAACCAGTTTTACATGAGCTAGGTCTTGCTGCCTTAGACTTGGGGGTCACTAGCTTAAAGTAAATAAGAATGTTCGGAGCGCAGGTTTTACTTCTGTGTCGTGCATGCGTTTTGGAGCCTCTCGTCAGTTACAGTTTTTCAGATATGTAGTTTCGATCCCTGTTTATTTTCGCAAAGCCCTGATCAAAACAGATTTCTTCCTTAATTTTAAAACTAACGCTACATGCGTTTAACAGAGCAGTAGGCATAAATTTATTCCACATCTTAGTAATTCCTTTAGCGGGCTGCGTCAGACGTTCTGGTTAGCTGATATTGGGTCACTGGTGGCTATGAGCTTGATTTGTTGTTGAACTCCGGCTTCGCTCATTCCCAGTAATAATTTACGAGATAGCTATGTCTACTCTTTCAAGCAGGACATGTGATCGTGCGGGTGTAGGTCAGCCAACCTCAATCATCTTGGTGACTAGCTTTCATTAAGACAAGAACAGTGGTTTCCGCTTGAGCACAATCCACCATAGACAACGAATAATTAGAGTGTTATGACATGTAATTTCGGTTGGTGCGATTTTTACCTTGGAGGAAGCCGTTGAAGTTTTACCGTAGAATACCTGGGTTGCACTTTACTCTGGTTTAAGCGGATTCGCCGTTGATCTGACACCGTCATATAATCTTATTTGACTAACTTTTTGGACGTTCATTTTTCGTCGAAAGTGTTAAACAACACGCTGTACACCTAAGTTTAGTTAGACTTGCAGTTTCGCGGCAAACCATGGCCAAGCCTAGGGGCTGCTCTTTCTCTGTAATCACCTGGTTTATATAAGGATTTTGAGGGCAGGCGGTTGTCCTTTCTGAAGGGCGTACGGTTAGATGGCTGATTCAGTGTTCTGTCGCCGCAACCCCCCTACTGTAGTGTCTAACTTGAACATATATACTTACCTCTTTCATAGTGGACTGGTGAAACGAGCTGGAGACCGCTCCATGCGCGGTTTTCACCGAATCTTTGGACCAGTACGTCACTCACAGGATCTTGTGCGGGTCTGGTTTACACACACTCATCCAAGAAGTGGTACTCACATCCTCTTTTTGAAATGCTTTTGTAATTAATTCCTAGTCCTCATTGGGCCATGGAAATCCTAACTGCTCGGTAACAGGTACTGACCTATCATTTCTAGGACTAAAGCGCGTGCGTGACTATCCAACTTTTGTGGATCCTCTTTATATGATTATTAGTAGTTATTGTTATTGCTGTTATTATTATTATTTAGCTAGTGTGTCAGGGAAGGCGATTACATTTCCCGCGTCGTAGGTGTTCCTCAGTAAGTCAGTAGCGCTGCGCAACCCACCTGTTCTCTTCTATACAGTCTCATGAAATTTTTCCATCTCCGAATATATCAATTAAGTTATATCAAAAGACAAGTAACTACCACATCTACCACATCTGTAAAAGTAGAGCGAAACCCTACTTGTATCGGAAATGCTGTGACACTTCAGCTTACCCGAAATTTTCACACTATATCTGTTGAACTGGTTCACTTTACTCGACAGCTTTGAAGCGTCCCGTAGTTTATCCCGTATCTGTTCTACCACCATTCCATTTGACCAACTTAATCTTTCAAATCAGCACTCTGCGTGGCTTATCGGAGTGACGGTAAAGAGATCGCCATCAGCCTCCTGAACGGCGACGTCGTGTTCTACGATCCGAATGAAGGAACAGAGAAGGGTGCGATAAATGGAAAGCACGACCTCGGTGTAGCGCAAACTACGGAGGCCGATCTGGTCACTCCGAAACGTTCGGCTCAAGCAAGGTTAGTTCGGGGTTTTTTGTGTCCCAATTTACACATCCGTGTTTTTCAGCCAACTAGCCTGACGAAGCAGGACTTTCTCTCTCAAAATTGTCCATTATTTTTGTGCACAACAGGACAGAGCAAATGTATGACCCAGTCCTTGATGTTTACTGATATTTTCTGAGGTTTCGAATGGATTTTGCGAGGTTTTAGTGAGTGTGTTCACAATGTCTTGAGCTGATTTCTTTTGCTAACTGACATGATTCATAAACCATCAGATTTCCATTCAGTTTCAAGCACCAATCAACAGTCATTGAGGATACTGCGCAGGCTTGTTTCTTGTTTCGCTCGCAGTGTTCTACACTTCTGGTGACTGGTATCTTTTGGATACTGGTTTTACGTACCGCATTGTATGAGTTTACCGACACGTTCACGTGTTTCTTTCACCCCTAATTCACGAGACTGTATATATGGTACTCATATAGGCATTTTATACACCCAATCTTGTGTGGATCACCAACTTGACAGTTGTTTATATTATAGTGGGATTGAATGCACTTCTATCTGTTCATTGATTTTCCCTCCAGCCTATCACATGAAATCCCACATTAAGGCTAATACAATGAACCATGTTACTTGCCATAACTGCGGTTGCTTTCTGGATTCTTCTGCGACTAAACATTAAGGTCAAATCAATAACTACCACCCACCTCTCATCGTTACCTGCATTCTTAACGGAATGTTTCTGTTATTTTGAACGTTACCATGCCATGGACGTCCCTGACAGGCCAGTAAACACAGACAAGGGAAGTTCGTCATTCCACTTAACCGGATTTTGTGAAGATACACCTCTAGGCCGGTTTCTTTATGTTCGGGGCTTTTCAGATGGTCCTGGCTCTGAAGCGTTTGGCTAATCAATACCCCGTGGCTAAAACAGGTAGTCTGATTGAGTGGCGTTTGTCTGAGGCCTTTGGTCGATGGTCTAGTGGGACAACTTGTGTCCTTAGTTGGTAATTGTAATAGTGTGGTTTTCCTAGTATGAGAATATAATCTAATGACGACCCCCGTGAACCTCAGCTGGAGCACAATTTGTTGTGGACTCGACTATCACAAACCGATTGCACTTTTCCGCGAGACAGGACTTCACAGTGCAATCCACTGGTCACACTGGCCATGCTGGTATTTCGAAAAACAGTTACCTTCCAGTTTGTGATTCGTGAAGTAGTAGCGCTTGATAAAGTCAGCCGAAATGCCTGCTTGTAATTTGTGTTTCCTTTCTGTCCTGGTCTTTTGACCTAGGGAAGCCAAAAAGTTGGAACACAGGACTTGTCGACGTATGTTATTCGATAGTTGGAACACTAAAGACCACTTTATCAACAGCTTCTAGGATGTTCTTTGCTTATACGGTATTTATCCCGTTTCCTCTCACTTTAGACGTACCGGCGAGAGTATTCTGTTTGGTCAGATGGCTTTCTGTGGGATGGGCAAGTGCGTTTAGGCTGCACCGATGGGCTTATTCGTAACAGTTACACATTCAGACTGTATTGTGTGGCGTGAATTACACTCAAGGTGAATCACTTCATTTAAGGCGGGAAGCTGTTGGTCACCTTTCGATTTTCTAGTCTCTTTCCGTTTTTCTTCTCAAACGCCAAGGTACGCTCACCCAACCGCTAATTATAGGCTTCTAGAATGTAGGACTGTGATAGATAAACTAGTTACACCTCTACGTGATACTTAGGATTGAACCATTTTCATTGGACGTTCTCATCGGTATCCACCGAGGAGACACGTGGCGTAGTTTAGTCAAGCCTTTAGAAACTCATAGAGTACATCTTCAAGCCAGGAAACACTGCAGAGATAAAACAAGAATGTCACAAACCAGAGGTTCATCGGGTGTTAAGGGTAAACCGATCGCATGCATCAAAATGCTGACAAAAATGAATTCAACCGAGAGAATCCCGGTAAGCCTAAATTTTAGTTAAACACTTGAAGTGCCGCACAATCAGAAAGCTATCTGATTCCTCGGGGCCAGGAAAACATAGGGGAACGGTGTAACCAATGAAACAGGACACTAGCATGGACGGGGTTAGAGATGGTGTTTCACGCAATGGCAAAGTGAAAAAAAAGAATATTTCATATTGATGATACAGAAACGTTGCTGATAAGGATCAATGTACTTCTCTGTGTGAGTCTTGCACAAGTGATGTATTGCTTTTTTTCCATAGTAAATTTTCGAGACGGGTTAGCAATCCTATAGTCACCGGGCTTCCGATCCAGGGACTTGGTGCATTAGTTATTTACCAACACTGACAACAAATGTGCAGGACAAGTGTCTGAACCAAATTTGACCCTGTTAGAAGAGTAAGACAGGCATCTTGAGAAACCCTAAGGATGAATCTGTCGTCGATGTTCACTTATGATGTTGATGGCCGAACTTTACAACTTTCCGGCGAACTACGTGATGTGCCAGTTGAACTTCCTTACTGTCACTGCGATTCGTTTCTTGCTCAGAGTATATTCTCCCAATCCATACTCATACTTTTGCGCATTCCATTACACCGCAATGAATGTAACACTGGGTGTCATTGTCAATAATTGGCTGACCTTTCCCCGTCTTTCCTGTCAACTGAACAGAAAATTTCAGACAATTGCCTACTCCGCTGATGGGGAACACTTGTTGGCAGGCGGTGACTCAAAATATGTTTGTCTTTATTCCATTCCGGATCGAGTTCTCCTCAAGCGATTCGAAGTGACGTGTAATCTTTCGTTGGATGGAGTGCAGGAAGTTCATGACCGTCGGCGATTCCTCGCCCAGTATTCTACTGAAGCCATGCACGCTAAACTATCTCAAAACGTAAGCCTGCCAATCCCGACCAGCCGAGCAGGTGTGGATCGAAGCAGTCGTCAGTGGCGCCCAGAAATTCATGTTTCATCTGTACAGTTCGCTCCAACTGGTACGTTTCCGTCTAAATGCACGTTAGGATTGTTTTCTGGACAATTCTGCTTCCAGTCTGAGTTCATTCATTTTTCACAGAATACATATGTGGCTGTCACTACTCTCCTCTTGGGATCACTGCTAGTTACTCTCCTGAGGAGCGGAAAGATCTCAATCATGGGGCCACAACTCCTTGAAGCGGCTCCCTAATTCACGAACAGCCAAAATATAATGGAACATATGTTGTCGAGTGGGCTGGCTAATGAAGTTTCTATTTTGACCAGGGTGGAATCAATCTAAAGGCACTGCATTTTAACTTTTATTTTGTTTGGCTGATCCCAGCTAGGAAGACGATAGAACCCCTCTTGAACAATCGAAAAACTCAGTAGCTAATAGTTTCTTTGTTGTTTATCCTATTTTTGCGTCCGTTCGTATTCCTTGCAGTCCAGCTAATCTGGGATAGACACTAGAATTTGAAGTTAACTGTGGCTTCTTTGTATTCTTGAAGTAGATTATTTCTTTGTCGAATTCAAGCCTGGGTATCCGATTTCAGCTATTTTGCACCGAAAATATGGTAAATCAGCAAAGAACACAACAATTCATGAATCTTTGGCAAGAAATGACGATTGTATCGATTGTTTGGCACTTCAGATTCGTGAATTTAGGATGCTACTTGAAATTTCAGCGGATACGGACGTAACTATCTTTCAAACGCCACCAAATATCTTGTATCAAGATCTACCCACTCGGTTCGTCGTAACGACTAAAGTTTCCAAGAAACACACGTCTGACAGACTTGCATCGGTCTCAACAGATTCCTCTCTAGACGATTGATAGTGGTTTGGTGCTGCCGCAAGCAATTACCGAAGCAAGGCATCGAACTTCACTGAGGGCCTTAAGTGGCACCGATTCCGCAAGGGCAGAATACTGGACTCCGGTTGGTAAAAAGTTTTGTTGACCAGTTTGTCTAGCTCACTCAGTCATTTGGATAATCTTCCATCTACGCGACTAAAAGTACCGGTTTTCTTCGAGTTCAAATGTGCTCTGCCAAATGCTCTATTGTCCAACGCGATATGCCTCAGTTTTTTTGGGAACAAAAGCGTTGATGGTCATTAGCTAGAGCATATGGCCGATGGTTTTGCAATATTTCTGAATGTGAAGGAGATATTTCCGTTACACTTTGGTATGTACTCCGGTATGTGCAATCAGCTTCTATATCTTGACCTACCTCGTCCCCTCTATGGGTAGGTGCTCGTTTTTCTGCCGATTTCGGTGATAATTCATTACAAGAACCTCAAAGGCTGGGTTCGCGTTCGATACTTTTTGCTACTTCTGATGATAAAGTGATATGCTTATTGATCTCAGGGGGCTCGCGTGTGCTGTTTTAAGCTGAGATGACGTGGATTCTGCAAACAAAAGCCATGTGACTGTTTCAGGTTTTTCATAAATGGTCCCTGAGTGACTTTATAGAAAGATCTAGTTGTACCGTTGGTAACTACGTTGATAACCACATTTGTCACTACGAAACCCTGAGGCTGCTTCGTGTTCGATGTATACTGAGTTGGCTTCCACCGAAAATGGCACTGATTTCCAATGCTCAAAGGCGCAGAGTTCGCTAACCCGTGAGTTGGCAGAAGCATTTGAAAAGTCTTTTCGGAGAGGGTGTGAATAACTTTTGGGGTTGAGGTCTTTCTGACCTACTTCGTGCGTAACCAGCAGGATGGTTACTTACTCCCACCGACTTCGCTCTTCACAACCGGTCTTTGGAACCCGTTTTTAGTTGCCCGTTAACAAGCTCGAGATAGCTCAACCTGTGTCCGCGAGCTTCTTGTCCTCAGTGCAATGTTGAATTACTGATTTCTACCTAGAGTTATTCAACGTATCAATACCTCAGCTTCGCAGCCGAAATTTTCCGCTATAAGCTAGTGATATCCCGGTTTTCGGAACTCTGATCGTTCATGGTGAGGATGTACAATTGTGTCATGTCATCTGCGCGGGCTGCAACTAGTTATAAGCTTGCCGGATACATTAGGCCTAGCGTAGTCTTTTTGACTTAGTCTGGATTCATCGGTGCTGTGAATTGTTTGATACCATACTCCTAGCATGGTACATTGTCTAACGGTTTCCGCTTGTTCCCCACCTATCTGCTTTGTGTGCGGTCACGATCAAGCAATACGTGCCCCGTTCAACTCGTCTGGAAGCTTTGATTCCTTGTTAGTGATTCTACCTTACTTGTTATACCATGAACGATACATATGTTAAACCTTATTAGTCTTTTGAAACATGATACCAACTGTACTATACATATGATCTTTGTCGGACGCGGTCCTAGATGTTTTGTGAATTTCTTGTTCATCCGGTTTATTTTCTAAACATTCAATATCGTGACTCAGTGAACACATACTTACCAAACTCGCTCCACTGTTGAAATACGAACCGTTTTGATATTCACCTTGAATGGTACTACAAAACGACATGTGATTTTGTATGGTTATCCGTTGAAGCCGTTCGAAGCGTGGCGTTCGATCGTGGCGTTTTTTGTGGTCAACTCCGAGATCGAACAGCCTTCAGAATTGTACTCACATTTTATTGTATTCAAATCGTTCAGAATGCATGCAGGAATTTAACTCCCGATTCGTATTCCCGGTCCTAGTCAACAGAATTGCTATGTCCTATACTATCCATAAGTTTTTCTCAAGACCAGTGGATTCTAAAAGCTCACTACCTCTCTGCAATGGCCACTTTCTATCAGTTCTGCTAGTCATCGCTCTAAGTGGGTTTTGCAGAAAATACCGGGACTTTTGGCATTGTGCATTGCATAGGTAGACGAATTTGCTGGCGTATGATGGGGACAGTTGATCAGCTTGAAGTGACTTCCTTTTTCACCGATGTGCGGAAAATTTGCTAAAAATATCCGATTACACGGCGTGAAAAGCGGTATCAACCGTTACTTTGGCAGCTGTGCACCCATGATATCACCAGGTTATCTGATCCCATAAGTTTGCATACAGTCTTTCGGTACATTTGAATTGATGCTCAAAATGTGAGTTTCCGGTGTAGTCGAGGCAACCATTCCATCTAAGGTACACGAGTGCTCAATTTCACTTTCTTCACAAGTCATGTCTGTGTCCTTTCTCCACGGATCTGAGTTTTTCAGGCAGTCCTCACAATCTACTTTGAAAAATGATATCAATGAATGCGTTTTGACTTGGCACAGGTGCATTTGAAGTCATATGATCTCTATCTGAACTCTTATCGCTCGCTTTGGAAGTTGGAAGGGTATGGTGGGAGTAAATTTCTATCTACACTGTTTAGCTGATAGATTCATGGGAAAGGTCGACCGTTCTTAAAAACCCGCTCATCTGTCTAAACAAATAGAATGTTCAGCGATAATTTTGTGATTTCAACTAGTGCTTGTTGGTAGACTGGTGTCATCCTTCTTACATAATAGGTAGTTAATTTTTTAAAATCCCGTGACCACAGTAAATCTGTTATGCTTCTAGGTGATGCGTTCGCTGCTACAACGACGGAGGGAGTCCTTGTCTATTCGTTAGCATCTGTGTGCACTGGTTTCGGTTTCGGTGATCACTCCGTTCTTGATCGGGCCGCTTATGGAGGATGGCTGTTCGACGCCGTGGGTCTAGATGAAACCGCTACTCCGGAGAATGCACGCCTCGCACTAGCTGAGGGCAAACAGGCCCAAGCTTTGGATATCGCGATCCGTTTGCGTTTGCATGAACTGGTACAGGAAGTGATGGAGTCCATTCCATCCAATCAGAGTGAGCTATCTTTTCTGTTCCCCTTGTCTTTCTCCACGCATTGTCAAAAAAACCGAGTGGAATGCAGGTAGATTATTATAAAAAAGATGACGATCTTACTACTTATAATGTGCTAATGATGACGCGATACAAAATTTCATACCAACCCGCTTTTTCACTCCCTAATTTCTTAGAGGAGTTATAGATGTGAGTGATAACACATACGGGGGCAAGTAGTCATTGAACTCGCTGTTCACAGTAACTTGTTGAATGAACACCAGAAGATTGAACTCGGTATCTCGTTTCTCAAATAATCGTTCAAACATAGTCGCAATAGGCACTCGTTTAGGATCGATCTCTTTCGCCCAGACCAAACTGTGTTAGTTATTTGGGCAAACTTGTGTCGCACACATCTTACCTCTGGCTGCAACAGCCAGTCACCAGACCAAATTATTAGATCGGTTGCTTTTTCGATCTTGACGAGCATCACACAATAATCTTACCTTCCAATCTAAGAGGTTTCTCCGCTGACTTTGGTGGTACAGGCTTGGTGGTGAGCAGATACGGCTGGCTGTATAGTGTTTTTGGTTTGGAAAAAAGGTTTTAATTTGTGATCTTCAGACGCTTCCACGACTTATCTTATTTTATTTTATTTTTTGTAGACGTTTCGGACGTACTCTCTTTGAGAACTCCTGGCCTTGTTAAGTGAAACTATATTATTGTATTACTTGTCTTCCATCCTTGGCATCGCAGATGTCAGACTAGTAGCTCATGAAAAGATGAGTTCAAAAGAAATGATATCTGCTGTAGTCTAGGATAGCGCGACCTTTTAGTTTTCACTAACCAACAGGAAATTCTACTACAAATGTGCCAGTCAAGGATGCTATTTGTTTCACTCGAATTTCTTCCACTTACGTGACATGCTAGTGAAGCCAGCTTTTTCTACTCACAATATGTTTATTCTTCTTCGTTAGTTGATTTCCTTGCCCGCCAGCTACCAACACGCCAGGTAGTGGACTTTGTTATTCCCTTCTTGGCGCGTCAGCTGAGCGGTCACTCTCGTCATGTGGAGTTCTACACACACTGGACCGATTCTATACTACGTTCTCGTGGACTTGATCTGCGACGCGGAGCGGCTAGCTGGGCCCTTGCTAGTCCAGGGAATCGTTCACTGGATTCTAGCGTGAACAAGAGTGCCTCTGATAAAATTGGGTTTCTGAGCGAACGTGGAGAATGGGCTTCGTGTCAGGCAAGTTTGGTGCGTCTACAGGGAAGTCTGGAACAGATCAAAACCAACGTTATTCACAGGTACTCACATATGCATTTTAGTGAACATTCGAAACGCTTTTGGATATCCTGTCTAATTTTGAGGTGTTGAAGTTTTTGAATGGTGTTGTCGAACTGTTTTTCGAAGACGAATCGTTTGTGGTGCAAACCAAGTGGTACTGTATTCACCCTCCAAAGGAGTTATTGCTTCACTTTGTGTTTCGCTGAAAACATCTTATCATTCACTTGTCATCACCAGCGGTAATCTTTTCGGACGCACCATTGTGACTGAACGGTTTACCACTGTGGCCAAAGGTGTATATGATCCCATCCCGCTACACCCGTCAACCTAGTCAGTAACCTTTGTTGGCCAGCACCTATTCACACTTGTTGTAGGGCCACAATAGGGATGGTGCGACAAGGCTCGGACGGAATTCAAGAAGACCATGGATAATTCCTGGTTTTTACCTGCGACGCATCTACCGTTGAGGAGCCATGTATTGAACATCTCTGGAGGGAACCGACTCAGTTGATATTGCGTACACCGAGGAGGTGATAGTGTGACGAGGGATACAATAGAAATATGTTTTCAGGAAACGGATGGGTGACACATCGCTGGAGTTATATTGAGTGCTGTCTGATGGGGAAGGTGGTATCAGGTCTGGCTATATCTCCTATAAGCGTTTGTCTGTGACTACCAGCACTCGTGCATTGAGTCCATTGAACTAGGAAACACTTCGGTGTGCTGTTAACGATGGTCTCCTAATCAGCGACGCTCTGGTTACATTGGAACACATGAAGAAACTTGTAAAACTTGATTAACACGTTTCTTGGGTTTACATTGCCGCTGGTGACTCCATAGCCGTTCTTACGATGTCAAGTTGTCAACTACACATATGCGGAATGCGCTTAACCGCAACCATCCTTGCACACTCGATCGCTAGACGCTCACGACAACATAGTATGCCACCGATTCTTATCGATTTACGGCGTGCTGTGCGTTCATGGAGTTTAGCGAAGAAAAGAATAGTTTCTGATTGCTTTTCTAAGCTTGGATTTGCTCAGGCTTGCTCATCCCTAATGTGTCCGTATTCTCTCAGTATCGCCATTGCTTTGTATTCGATTACCCTCTGTTCACATTTTTCTGTTTTCGAATCCCCTACTCCAATCCAATTACTCCCATTTGTTCATCTCTGGCCAATCAGTTCTCCGCAAGTGTTTCAGTGTATCACTCTCGTTGAGTCCAAGCCTATTTGTTTGTTTAATGGGAACGTGGTATTGACAGCTATGTCTCTAGTTGACACTCAGTAAGTATCCACGCATGATCATCCATCAGTTGTTGGAAACCCGTCCTGTATCGTTTATCGTCAAGTTGCTGTGCGCTTCTCACGAATTGAACAGTTTACTCAGAAAGGCAACAAACAGCTTTTGGTTGGTCATTATGAAAGGGAATTTGCACGATTGTAGGAATGTCGCAAAGTCGGAACTATGTATCCTACCCTTATTCCCATTGACACGTTTGATTGGGAAGTGCAGCCTTGTGATCCTACAACTGAAGAATCCTTGTCCACGAATTGGGTTGAGCGCAAATGAGTGCCTTAAGGACATATTTTATCCGGTTGTTCAATTTACTTCCTCACATACTCAGCTGGAATTTTCGCGTGGGTCTAGGACAGCGTGATTTTTCATTAACTTTACCCAAAAGAGGTATCAGATTGGACGTAATACACTACTCATAAGGTTGCTGAAAACTCTTTGACAACCCACGACCGGTTTCGCCCTTCTTGAGGCTTCTCAGCTAGGCGCAACCATCGAGTTTCCGTCGACCTTATATTCTACTTGAACCCAAATTGCGAGATACACTCATTTACAATTTGGTTTTGATGGGAGACGTTTATGATGTTTTTAAGCAACTGAATGTGCTATACCAGGCCACCCCATGTTTCAGTTGGTACGATATCTGAGACACCGCGATACATTGCATAGAAGTAATTCACTACTCATAAAGTTGATGAAAATTGTTCGGTAACCGACGATCAGTTTCGTCCTTCTCAAAACGCCCCGTTTATTCATGGTTTTGGCGGTGTGCATCTTTTTTTGCGTGCTGGGCCACACGTGGTATTGTTTACTATTTTCGGTAGCATCTAAAAGAAACAATTTCACGAATGGCCTATGGTAGGGTGATTTCATCTACCTGGAATAGCTCATCTTACACACGCTATTCACCCAATTCTGGCGTGTAACCCAATGTTCATTTGACTTCTGCACTTGTGTATCCCGTTCTTCTCTGCCTATTGATTTAACAATTCCGATGTCCCAAACGTCTCACCAAGCGCCATCCAAGTGTATCGCGCCAGTGGTATACACCGCCATCAGAACACGTCATGCGTTTTAGTTGGTATTTTCAAAAGTGCATCCATTAAGGCTAGTACCACTAAACGAATGTAGCCGGATCGTCCAGCTACAACCAGCACACTTTCGGTGCCTAACTGCCATGTCACCAGAAGGAAGCACGAGGGCTGGGATACTGCCAGGTTGCCCAAGTCTAGTCAGAGGAAGTCGAGAGGCAGAGTTCGGGTGCGAACCACGAACCTTCCGGTCAGTAAATTTGCGCTCTAACCACTGAGCTATCTCGTCCCCCATATCATGCAGTTTCTCTACTGGACTTCGTCCAACTGGGGTAACTGTTTTTGCCAATGGGACAGGGCATTACAGTCGTGGTTGTTTCCACCAGTGTTAAGTACTATGTTTGGATTCCATCGTATGTAGTGAGGGGAAAGTAATAGAAACTGCTTGCTTATTACTTGCTGTTGAACGGAAGATAAAGGATCACTCCGCAAAGCTTGTTCAGGGCGGATTTATTCATACCTTTTCTTTCCAAACCGATATAACAACAGTCTCTCTTCCTGACGGTGCTCATTTTTCAACCACCTATTTTTTTTAGTTTTCAACCGCCTATTGTGACTTTCCTCTTCTAAATTTAGGTTTGAGGCCGTTAGTAACTTGTGGCGGTATCTTCAAAGTGTGGCTATGCTGAAGGCTACTCGGATGAGAACAGCCGTCCTCAGCTCCGAACAAGCTGCTACTGAGCATATGGATCATCTAGATGAACCAAATCTTCTGGCTGCCGCTTCGACGCATCTTCCTAAGAAAAAAACCTTGAAAACGAAAACCAAACAACCACACAAAGCGAAAGCACACCGAACTTGATATCACTGGAGCCGTTTATTTCACTGTATAGAATTTATTCACGACACTTTTTGTCTTGCGTGCTTACATTCTGGTGCGTAGCAGGCTTGCTCAGAATTAATTGCATCCAAATTTCTGCACAGCTTACTTTCATGTGCACTCAACGATGCACATGTTGCAACGGCATTGGGCAACTTGCCAATCATTCTACAGCATTAATGTGTCTATAAGTGTGATGGACATGTTCTGCTGTTTTCATCGGGTTGCCAAGTCAACCAACTCGGGTTCAAGAGAGTCAGAGATTAGACAGGCTCTGTTTTCATAGGGCCTTCGTCTATTTTCCGAGGAAATGCATATTCGCATGTTTGTCTCAGCGTGACGTTTGTGTTCACTGGATTCCACAGTCTGATACTCGGTTACGAGCGGCGCCATACTCCGACTCCTGTGAGTGTCCTAGGTTATTCGTAGTCTTCCCCGTTCGCACAGTAGGTTTAGTGTTCCTGGAACTCCGTAAAGGTTTTTCTGATGCACACCAGTTTCATGTCTGGTAGAATGTGTTTGTAATTTTGGTAGGTTTTTGTTTCCGATTTTTCCAACCCAAAGCAAGCCATTACAATTATATCTACCTATCAGTTATAATCACTTATGCACCACACCCATAGCTGATAATTCGAGAATAGCTAAGCTACTTGGGTAGCTTATCTCTTCGGCCACAATCAACGCTGTTCGGCTGCCATTGGGACATGAGTTTGTTGCTCACAGTAAGAACATATAAGTCGCTATGTCATCAATCCCGGTGCGGAACGTGTAACACTCATATAGCATATAACGAAACGTTGAGGAAGAAACAGTGGTGGAGAGTGTTCCTTTCCGGGAGACCCTTGAATTCGCCTTGCTTAGAGGGTCTTTTTCAACGAATTCAATGAATTCTCAAGACACATTTTCCGTTTATATTGTCGATTCTTTAATGAACGGCTACTGAAAACCTCAGAAGTATTGTACGACTGTTTCTTCCGTATGGGGAATCACCATTGCGCATTCCATCGAATCGCGACCTTCCGGCTAGCAGCTGAACACTACCAATAACTCAAAGTAGCTCAGGGGAAGAGTGAAATTCGCCCGAAGAGTGAAACATTCATCTGAGAAGTTTTCACTCAACACGTGATCATGGTTGAAGTATTAGTGGTGCTGTGTCCCGTCCAAATACAAAGTAATCACATTGCTGCTTGTAGCTGAACGATTGAGTGCTTAGACCACATGAACGGAGGTCGTGGGTTTGAGACTCCTTGGGATCTAGTGAGATGTGCACTGTTGCTTATTCCCAGTAAGGACGAAACGGCCATGAAATGCTTCTCGGGTTTCTGGGATAGATTAACTTCATTTGCAGGACAAAATCGTTAAAAATTCTCAATGTTCGGTTACATGAGACAACAGATTATTGTCGGTCTCGATATCCATCAGAGTTTCTTATTTGAATTACTAAATGTACCGTTCTGGTATGTAAGTGAAGTATCCACTTTAACTTTTAAGATAACGCTTATACGTAAACAAACGTCGCCGCTCTGAGTGGTCCGTTAGGCCAACTCCAGCTGATACCTTCAGGCGACAGAAGTCTGATGTGACCAGTGGTACCGTGATATACGAACTTCGTGGTGATATCTTGATTTTTAATTCTGAAGAGTACTTCAGTATTTTCTCAGACACTGGTGTTATGTATCCTACGCTTTACTGGTCCTTTATCGGGTAGCTTTCGGCCTGTTTGTCGGGCTTTGCTCTTGAGGTTGAAAGTATTAGCATGTTTTCGCTTACCCACCCTGCTCTATGGAGCAATTAAGGTGACTCGGCTTGTGACACCATGCGGCAGCTGATGTGGCGTGGTATTAATTTTATTTGTAACTATCATGGTTGTACGTGGGGTGGAATACTGCCAGGGAGCCCACACCTAGACGGGAGGACGACTAGGGTCGCCAACCAGAGCACTGACTCAAAAGCCTGACAGGAAGGCATCGGTTTATTGCGGGAAATGCAAATGCATTACCTACAGAACATGTCGCCCTATGTTCCAACTCCCAACTTGGAGGGTCAGGGGACTGTGTTGTTAAGATCTCTAACCATTGACCAACCTGGTATGAGAGGCTCTTTGAGTGTCGCGCGGACACCACCCAGTACAGCTCAGCGGGTCACGGGGGCACACCGTCAAACCACGGTAGGATCCAGTGTATATATACAAGGGATTTCACTCTGATATATGCAGATTTTCTCGTACCAGGTTTGTTAGTAGACAGAAGTGTGATGAACACAGTTTCCCGTTCCTCCGTTTGGGGAGTGTGAGCAGATCCAGTGACCTGTTCTTTGAAACCTTGTACCATTGTGGTAGTCTGTCCGCTCAATCACCCGCTACCTCCGGTCAGACTTTTGGCTGTGGTTGGGGATCCAATCGTTCCGTTGGCTCGTGGTGTCAGCCGGTACCATTGGCATGTCATTCTAGATCGATGTAATACGGAGGGTTATTCTCCCTTTTGCCTGGCAGCTCAGTAACAAGTCCCAACCTCAGCACGCAATTACAGTGCACTGATGATGTCGACTCGACTGGTGGTGAAACGTTTGCAACCAAATTGCCCAGTTCAGCCGGGTCGGATTAATAATAATAATACTTTATTTGCTTGGTTGTTGTTACAATTGATTCAAATGTTGCCGCCTATTTATGCTCAAGCTTACTGAATCTGGTTATATTTCCTATATTTTGTTGGACCCACTTCGCAACATTGCACCTAGTATCTATCGACCCGGGACTGGGTAATTCTCGAAGAGCCGTTGTATGGTAATGGGAATAAATGAGTACCTTTCCGGGGCCTAGCTGCCATGCAAACCCAAGAAGACGCGAGAACTGAGGCCTTTCAGGTTGCCCGAGCATAGAAAAGACAACTCGAGATGCAAAGGTGGGGCCGAACTACAGACATTACACTCAGTAATTCGCGCCCTGACCACTAAACTATCCCGTTGTTTGTCACGGGCTTAATCTTTGCTCCGTTATTTTATTCGTGAAATCTCTCGTTCAAGTTCTGCGCATCCTAAATATGCTCGCTATTAATATGTTTCCTGATATGCCTACCAGTGAATCAGTATAAACGTGGGACTATGGATGATACGGACGAAACCGATGGGATCACCGCCCTTCTGCAACACATCGAATAATAAGTGTTTAGTTTATTTTCTTCAAAAATGCTTTGTGAACCGTCAGTTGTTGATAGTGAATACATTGTCGAACGCCGAAAACCTGAGTCACACATTGTCCCAGGTGGGTATGAAGGTGATCGGCCATAGACCCTCTTACTGGAAGTTTTCGGCTCGATATTTGTCGCGCCCTCCACTAGGATCTCCGAATAGTTGGGTTAACACTGTCTATTCAGTGGCTGTTCCAGGTCAACAGATGGCCGAACCAAGAACCACACTCAAGTTCGTCGACACTTATGTTAATTTTTCAAAAATACTCATGTTTATAGTTGATTCACCGGTTATCTGTTTATTAAGATAGAAATAGAATGCGGCAGTCTAGTCACAGGTAGACTTGTGCAAGTTGGTTATTTCCCTTTTCTTTTTACACGTCGATATCGAAATGTCGTAAACTCCGTGCACTGTTTCACGAATTCCGCCTGAGAGTGTGATTGGCCTTGTGCATCGGCAAGCAAAAACAACATTTTATGCTTCCCCGCTTGGGAGCATATGAAATGTATTCACTGTATCTCAGCCGTTCGTGCTCGCTTACCTAGTCGACTATGTGTCGGGAAATGTTTCCGTTTTTTGCCGTCCCAGACGCTGTTACGCGTGCTATTTTAGCTTATGTGAGCACATCGGGTTGTTCAGGCGTGTTTCTTCGCCAGAATAGGCGTATCCACGCTAATATAATACTGGTTCTATCGCCTGAAAGAGAATCGGTACGAATGGATTCATGTTATTTGGCGCCGGTCTGCTCATCAGCGCAAATATATTGCTTCCTCTGACGTCGACCAGCTCAGAGAATTGTGGTGTCCCAACACAACTGCAAAAGATGGTTTACTCATTGGAGGGTACTTAGTTTTAGCACCTAGTGGAGAACATGGAATTAGTCAAAGGTTCATCTTCTATGAAGATCAACTTCACATGCAACTCATCCTGCACGGAGCTACAGTGGGTATTGTTGTGGTGAGTGAAGGTTAGCAATTATTGAACGCTGTGTTTTCCGTGCTCAGTGTAAGCGCTCACAACCGTACTGTCTTGATCGGTGGATCATTTTGTTTCAACACCGGACTTCTGGACTGGAAGTAGAAGAGGACCGGTAAATGTCATTGCTTAGCCGCGTTGCTCGACTGCTTGTGATTTCTTGAACAAACTCCACAACCCACACTTCTCTTGAAAGATTACGAATGCTATCATCTCAGTGCACATCGTCGTTGGTCATACGAGTTCACTTGAGGATATTCTGAAGAAAAATATCGAAACCGATATGTTCTTCAGGGCGCACATTCCATAGAATATCATAAATTTTGTAGACCTGAATTTTATTGGTTCTCAATACGCCAAATCGGCGACAGCTTTTGGTCCCATTTTCGTTGTTTCAGTAGGAGAGAGTGCATTTGATTTGGTCAGCCGAAAGAAGCAATAATATGACGGAATACAAGAGTTGAAGTGTAGCTGATGATGATTCGTAAAACAAATCGTTCTGTGACTGTCTATACGTATACCTGTCTGTTTACAGCTCTCATATAGTGATTTTTTCCACGTCTTAAGCAGGATGGCAGATGTAGTGGATCAACGTTCCCTTCTGTAATAAGCTTCTTCATTTCACTCACTTCTAACGTTCTCAGGCGGCATAATCTGCTTAGAATGGCTGGATTAACGTGCAAACGAGAGTACTGCGGATTCGCGGTTGTCATAATGCCATTTGGCAAATCACCCAACAGCTAAATCAGTAAAATCTATCCACTATGAACTGTCTGCATCCACAGTGATCGTTTTTGGTTACCTTCTTCAAATACCTGTTGGATGCATAAAGAATGCTATCCAACTGTTACGATAGCCACATAAATGTCACAGTTATACATGCATATCCAGTTTTACTGTTTCTCATCCATGCAAC